GAGGGGTGAGTGAGACTGGGGAACGATTGATAGTCTGACATTTTAATGAACAAAATAAGAGGAGATAACGATCCAGGATACCTTTTGATTATTAGACTTCAGACTTTACATTTTGAACTTTGAAAAACTGAGAACTAAACACTAGTTATGAAGAACTCTGTGCTGAAATAACGGAAGTGGAGAGAGTCCATAACGAAGAGCATTACTCAGCAACTTTTCCGCATAATAAAGAAGACTGAGTTGATGGGAATTTCCGAGAGACTGAAATAGTAATAAGAAACTGATGAATTGGTGACTTTTTTTATCTTCTCTTCTTTGAATCTGCTAATTGGTTATCTTTTCTCTTTTACTACTGGATATAATAATTTGAATACTTTTTGGAAACCATTAATTTTATAGCTAATTGGTATTTACAACTAGATATATTTCATTATATACACTATAGATTTAAAATATAACTAATTTCAATAGAACTTACTGTAAGTAATTGTGAACTATTACTTAACTTATTAATTTACTCAACATAAGGCTATTTAACCTAATTAAGGAATTGATTATATTTATTGCTAAATATTAATTGTTTGAAAGTTCTAGGTAATTTATTTTTATAGATTGACACTTAAAAGTTTAATTTTTTTATTTATATACTTTATATATATACTTACATACAACCTAGATTTTCTGACTTTTATATTAATAATTATGTATAATACTTATTAAGATTTACATTTACAGCTTAAACTGTAAGCTACTGACATATTTACTGAATAGTGTTGTGAACATCGAGATCTATACAAATAATATAACAGCATAAAAATTTATAGCAAGTACCATATTATATCAACAGCTAACTTTTAAGGAAAATAATTTTAAGTTGTTTAATGCCAATTTGGGACAAAGTGTATAATATCCTTAAAAAAAGAAAGAGATACTAGAAGAGGTGACTACTACAAACACCACAATAACTAAGACTGGAAAGAAGTCCACACTAACCCTAACACCCTCAGCAATGACAGCTTCTCCGATGATGCAAAAAACAATAGAAGGAATGCTGACAACTGAGAAACAAAACACCGCTTCAAATGTTAATATTCAAACCTCGCTACTCACATTGCAAGAATCGATGGTTAAACTCCAAGAAATAATGGTAAAGAATCATTTAGAGCAGTGGTTCTCAACCTGTGGGTCGGGACCCCTTTGAGGGTCGAATGACCCTTTCACAGGGGTCGCCTAAGACCATCGGAAAACACATTTTTTCAATGATTTTAGGAATAATTTTATGGTCAGGGGTCACCACAACATGAGGAACTGTATTAAAGGGTCGCAGCATTAGGAAGGTTGAAAACCACTGATTTAGAGACAAGAGCTGATATTAATGAGCTGAAAGAGGAAATGGGGAAACTAAAAATGGAAATGAGATCAGACATATCAAAGCTTGATGAAAAAGTAGGGTCAATTCAACAAGCATTAGAAAAGAATGAACACACAATAAAGGAAGTAGAGAAAAGAACGGAACAAACAGAGAAGAAACTAGAAAAAGTGGACCAGCAAATTTAAATGATGAGCAAAGAAATGGAAGATTCTATGATCTATATTGAGATGGATAAAGCTGCGTCGTTCCTAAGATTCCAAAATATAATGGAAAATAAAAATGAAGATCTGGAACTAGTGATGGCAGAAATTTTAGCCGAAGCACTAGATAGAGACAAGGAGGAAATGTTGAAGAAAAAGGATGACATTTACAGGGTCAACACGAGCTATGCAAGAAAAAACAAGCTCCCAAAGGAGGTCCATGTTCGATTCACAAGGAGGAAAGTTTGAGACATAATATATAAGATATTCAGAAAAGAAGCAATAATATATAAAGGAAAAGAGATTCAGATCCTCAAGCAAATCTCGAGAAGAGTAAGAGAGCAGAGAAGGAATTATAAATTCCTGGCTAAACACCTGAATAAAAGAGCTATTCTGTTCCGATGGCTGATTCCAGAAGGGATGCTGGTCACTTGGGAAGAAAGGAAAATCAAAATAGACACTCTGGAAAAAGCACAGGAACTTTATGAGCAACTGGCGGGATTGGAAGACCAAAGTAGTAGAGAAGATCTAGATTCAAACTCTCAAGAAGAACAAGACCAACCAAAAAATAAAGGCGAAGAACAAGAAGTAAAAGATACCAATCAACAACAACAAGAAAGAGAAGAGCCTAAGAAAGGGAAATAAGAGCAAACAGAAGACAAAAAACGAGATATAATTAGGGCTATGGAAAAAGAGGTGAAACTCTTATCTATTAACATAAATGGACTAAACTCAATGACAAAAAGAAAAAGGATTTTGGCAAACTTAATAAAACAAAATGCAGCTATTATATGTTTACAGGAAACACACATCTTAAAAACAGACGAAAAATATTTAGATTGCCCTAAATTAGGGACTCTGTTTACGGCTTCTGCAGATCAGGAGAAAAAGAAAGGATAGCTGTCTACATTAAAGAAGAGATAAAAGCAAACTTAATATTTGCAGACCCCAAAGGAAGAATTCTGGCAATAGAAATACAGATAAATAAAAACAATTATTAGTGGTAATTTATGCCCCCAATGACAATCAAAAAGAATTTTACAAAACCTTATCTGATAAAATTATTGAATTAGAAAGAAAAAATATTTGCATCATAGGAGATTATAATGTGATAACAGATTATCAAAAAGACCACAATGGGGGAAAGAAGAAAGAGGGGAAGAAAAGAGAACTACCCAAAATATATGTAGAAATGACCAAAGAATTAAATGTAATAGATATATGGAGAACACTAAATCCAGAAAAGAGACAATTTATTTTCTATTCAAACCCCCATCAGTCATGGTCATGCATCAACATGGCATGGATAAGTGGAGAATTAGCAGAAGAAGTGACAGAAGTAGAAATTTTACCGAACTCATGGGCAGACCACAACCCACTCAGAATCAATTGGAAGGGTTAAAAAAAACCAAGGAGAAGATGGATGCTAGATTCTCAATTCCTCAAAGATGAGGAATTGATTAAGAAAATTAAGAACTAAATTTTTATTTTAAAGAAAATAATAACCAATATACAACAACCCAAAACTTATGGGATACTATGAAAGCTGTTATACAGGGAATTATAATATCCTATGTTGCAAAAAAGAGCAAAGAAAAATATGCCCAACAAAACAATCTACTTTAAGCAATCAAAAAATGAGAGACTAAATTACAGAACAGCCCACAAAGTCCCCAAGTACAAGAACAATTGATTTTTCATAAACACAAACTCAATTTAGTTGATCAGGAAGAATTGGTTAGAAACTTGAAGGCAACCAAACAAGTATACTTCGAACAAGCAAATAAGCCAGGAAGATGGCTATCTTATAAATTTAAAAAAGAAAGAGAAAAGAACCACCTACCAACTACAAGATGAAAGTAGAGATTACCAACACACAATAGAAAAGAAAAAAGAGATTGCACATAAGTATTTTGAGGATCTCTATAAGAAAGAAAGAGGAGATGAGGATCAGATTAGGGAGTATCTAAGAGAAAAAAGAACCCGAGAAATAAAAGATGAACTGAAAGAAACCCTGACTAAGGATATAATTGATGGATTAAATCAAGCAATTAGATCCCAGAAAAGTAAGGCCATGGGGCTTCGGCTTGTCAGTGTGTGATGAGAGATAGGCGATCGCAGTGGCAGGCGAGGGGTGGCGGCATGTGGCTTCTGGCATTGCAAAGAGCGGCAGAAGCAGAACTTCCTTCTCGGCATCAGGTGTAGTCAGTCCAGGCATGGAGGCAATGCAGGGGAGGGTGGACAAAAAGGGAAGCTGCTGCTTTGCAGGGTTTTTTTTTTTTAAGATGCCAGAGGCCCTGGACAGAGGCTTCCCATTTTGACCTCCGTCATTGCCTTTACACCTGACGAGCCTCTGTGTGGCTCTCAGCTCAACTCTGCTGGACCCGTACATGTCTGTTTGTGTGTGCACACGCAGGGGGATCGCCCCCCTTGCAGCCCCACACCTTCAACAGAGACCTTCTGTAATGGCAGGCTGCAAACTAACAAAAGCTGTTTTTTTGGAGTGCTCATTTGTTTTTCTCACCTATTACCACTTCAATGGTGTGTGCTTAAGGTACTGTGGACTGCACAACACACCCCAACTTTCTGCCACTAGCATCGCGCCTTGCTCCCTCAGCTCCCGCCCCCAGCCCCGGGGAAGGCTGCAAGAAGCTCCCATCCCAGCTTCTCTTATCTCTCCTGTTCTTTTCCTCCCCAATGTCAGGATTGGAGGGAACAATGGTGGACAGAGGATGAAGACCAGGAGTGGAGTTATTCCACAGGCCTTGGTGCTACCACCATGGAGTCTCTCAGGGAGAAGTTTGGTGAGGCTAGCTTTAGGGATGCACTCTCGTGGCAACCGTGGGCAGTATGGTTGGACCCCCCCCCCCAAGTACATTGAGAGGGGGAGGGAGGTTGAGTTCTAATGGCCGTTTTCACCTCACCAGTCCAAAACTGAAAAGAGAGCAAGACTCTGGGAAGGAGGGTGGGATCCCTGTGCCAGCCACAGGGGGAGGAAGATATGGGCCAGGTCAGGGTCTGGTGACTGGATATGAGACACGCACCAGTAGACCTTTGACTGGACAGAAACAGAAACATTCGTCTAGAGTTACAGGCAGAAGGACGGATAATGCAAGAGCCAATGAGCAAGTACCTGTATGGCCTGCAGAAATGTGGCCACCTCAGCAACCTCTCTTTTGGAGCCCACCTCCCATCCAGGCTTCTTTTGATGGAAGTTCTGATCGGGTTGCTTTATTCTTGAGCCAGGTTATCAGCCACTTTGACCTATATGGTCGGTTTTACCCTTCTCTCTCTTTTTTTTTATTGCAAAAGTTTTACAATTACATTTTCACCCCTTTTCCCCCCCCACCTCCCCCCCGACTTCCCAACCTCCCTAACCCTCCCTAACCCTCCCCTCCCCCCAGACTTCCCTATAATATACTCATACTCATAAAAAACCCTTAATATAACACTTATATATAAACTTGAACTCCTCCCTCCCCTGTATAATTTTTCTCTTTACCTCCTTACATTAAAATATTTCCAATACATTATTTTCAAATAAAAGCTATTTGATACTTTCTAGTTTGATATTTGTTCTGAACATATTCTATCCACCTTTTCCATTCCCATTCATAAGTCTCTTGTGAACAATCTTTTAAATATGCTGAAATCTTCGCCATCTCTGCAAAACTGGCCATCTTCAAAGTCCATTCCTCGATAGTGGGCAAAGCTTCATTCTTCCAGTATTTACCTATCAACAATCTTGCTGCTGTTATCATATACAATATCAATTTTGTTTCACCCAATGTAAAACCCTTAACTATACCCAATAAAAACAGTTGTGGAGAAAATTGAATTTTTTTCTTCAAAACATTCTGCATGACCCACCATATTTTTATCCAAAAAGCCTTAACTTTCCTACAGGTCCACCAAACATGATAATACGTAGCATCCAAACATTCACATCTCCAACATTTTGGCTGAACATTAGGGTACATACATGACAACTTTTTGGGATCTAAATGCCATCTATAAAACATTTTATAGAAATTTTCCCTCAGGTTCTGCGACTGTGTAAATTTAACATTCTGAACCCAAATTTTTTCCCATGTTTCCAACATCAATGGTTCTTCAAAATTTTGTGCCCACTTAATCATACAGTCTTTAACTAATTCGGTTTCTGAGTCCCTTTCTAGCAAAACATTATAAAGCCTTTTGATATGCATTGGACCTTTCTCTCTTATATGTCTAACCAATTCTTCCTCGTGCAACATAATACCAGTTTTTTGGTCCTCTTTCCATCTCAATTGTAATTGATTATATTGTAACCAAGTTAAATTAATCCCTTCGTCCAACAGTGTCTGCAATGTCTTCAGCTGCCATCTGCCCGCATCTGTAAAAAGAACCTCTTTGTATAAACCCCCCCCGAGTGACATTATATTTGTATTCCACAAGTTTTACCCTTCTCAATGGGCCATGGTGGTGGCTGTTACCACAGTGTTAAATGGAGAGGTGGCAGATTGGGTAGCCGATTTGCATAGCGAGCATGCTAGAGAGCTAACAAATGTAGGTATGTTCCTGGAGGGTCTCAGGGACAGATTTGAAGACGAAACTAGAACACAGGCTGCAGAAGGAGAGATAGTGTCTATTAAACAATGGGGCCAACATGCCAAGGACTATGTCAAAGAGTTCAAAAAGGTTGTTGGTCGCTTAAGGGCATGGCCTGAACGCCTGCTGGTTTACCAATTTCATATGGGTCTCGACAGGGAGTTACGGCAGGCATGTATATATAGGGGTTTACCCCCTCGCCTTTCGAAATGGTTCAAAGCGGCTGTGGAATTAGATGTTGGGTTGCAGGAGTTCAGATCCTGAGGGGAGGGTAGAGTACCTTATCAGCACAGGCCATTTGATAGGTTGCCATCCCAGGGGTCTGGTGTCCCAACCAGACCCGTAGTGGGAACAGACAGATCAAGTCGGAGGACGGTTTTCCGGTGTTTTCGCTGTAACCAGCTGGGCACCGGGCAGCTGAATATCCCATACCACCACCAAAGATGCCAGGACTGCAAACCCCTACTGCCAGGGAGAAATCCAGGTCAACATCGGAATGAACACGACTAGCTGCTCACGTCATCCCCGTCAAGGGTACTACTCCAGGGAAGGATGGTGAAAACCCCGCTGAGGACGGGGGAGACCGATTACCGGAGGAGCATGATGGGAGTGATGAGGACGATCCAAATGATCAGATGGTGAGCAATCCTGTATGGCCGTTCATAATCCCGGTAGTGCTCCGGAATACACGCACAAGGTGGGTAGTAACCAGGGGGCCTTGATTGCATGCAATGTTTAATACGATGGTCTGTGGTGGATGAATTAGCTATGCAGGCTGTAGCCCTGAGAACACCTATTCGGTTCGAACAAATGGACCGCTCGGTACTGGGAGGAACCCCAGCTACACATGTCACTGAGCCTATCAAGTTGGAAATAGGGGAGCACTGGGAGTACATACGGTTCATAGTGGTAGATAAGATGATTGAACCCCTGATCCTAGGCCTCACTTGGTTAAATAAATGGCAACCTGTTATATGGCGGAAAGGGGTTTTTAGGAGGCTCAGACTAGTTGTAGGTCCCGAACCACCTACATTAGACCAAGCAAAGGCAGAACATAATGTGACAGACCATGGCACAGGGGGACTTTTCCCTGCAGTATACAAGGATCTGGCGGCAGTATTTAGTGAGGATGAATGTGAGGTGCTACCTCCCCCACCCACCCACCGATTGTGTCATAGAATTGATATCTGGAGCCAAATTGCCAAAACCTCACATGTACTCATAGAAGAACTCATAGAAATGCGAAAGTATATCGATAAAAAGTTGGCACAGGGTTTCATCCAGCCAAGCAGGTCCCGTATGGCGGCTCCGGTTCTATTCAGGGAGAAAATAGATGGTGGCCTATGCCTTTGTGTTGATTTCCGAGGTCGCAACACCGTGTGTGTTGAGCATCTATACTCCTTACCGTTATTAAAAGACCTGTTATCCACTTTGGCAACCGGAAAAATCTTCACAAAATTAGATCTACAAGAGGCATACTACTGGGTACACCTCCGACCAGGGGACGAGTGGAAGACAACATTTAATTGTCCCCTGGGGAGTTACCAATTCTGGGTGATGCCGTTTGGACTACAGGGTGCATCTGCTATTTTTATGCAAGTAATAAATGAAGTTCTCCATGAATACTTCTACGGGGGGGAGGGTGTTCTGGTATTTCTGGACAATATTTTGATTTATACCGAGAATATGGATGAACACATCCGGTTAGTTTGCCAGGTTCTGGAGAAGTTGTTAGCTGCCAAGCTTTTCATCAAACTCTCAAAATGCAAATTTCACAAAACGGAAATTGATTATTTGGGTTATCGTATATTGGGGAGGGGGGTGGAAATGGACCCCAAGAAAGTACAGACTGTCTTGGAGTGGCAGGCCTCAAAGACGAGGAAACAGTTACAAAGTTTCCTCGGATTCGTGAACTTTTATAGGCAGTTCATCCCCTCGTTTGCCCAGATTGCATTGCCATTGACAGAATTATTGTGAACGAAACTCAGCACTGTAAAGCCCCGGCTGAGCAGTTAATCATGTGGACACCACAGTGTCAACAGGCATTTGAGAAACTGAAAAGACTGTTTGCATGTGAGCCTGTATTGAAACATCCAGATCCAACAATTCCTTTTGTAGTCCAAACAGATGCAAGCGATGTGGCTATGGGAGTGGTCTTGCTTCAAAAGAACCCTCAGGGAAAACTACAACCATGTGCCTATACATCTAGGAAACTTAGAGCTACAGAGAGGGGATGGGCTATATGGGAAAAGGAAGCATTCACGATACATTGGGCATTACTCACCTGGAGACATCTGCTTGAAGGAGTAGAGCTCCCGTTTGAGGTGTGGACGGACCATAAAAACTTAGAGGCTTTACAAACTCCTAGGCGGATGTCGCCTAAACAGGTTAGATGGGCACAGTATTTGCAATGGTTCACCTTTACCCTGAAATATGTACCCGCTAGGAGAAACTTTTTGGCAGATGCACTATCACACATGCCACAATATGACAGCAAGAGGGAGGAAGTGATACAGGCTATGATATCGTCACCCCAGACGGCAGACCAGATATCACCCCCTGAAACAGCAAACCCGTGGTACAACATCGTGAAACAAGCTTTATTGACAGATCAGTGGGTACAGAAGAATAAAAACTTAATAACCACAAGGGATGGTCTTGCCTGGAGAAACGACAAATTGTATATACCGAAGGTTGTCAGAGTTGCGGTGCTACAAAAATCCCATGATGTTAAACCTGCTGGTCACTTTGGCTTCCTTAAGAATTTACACCTAACACGACGGCAGTTCTGGTGGCCTCGGATGTGCAAAGATGTCGAGGAATACACAAAAACCTGTAAAATATGTGCAACGTGTAAGCCATGACCAGGAAAGCCACTGGGGCTATTGCAGTCAGTTGCAAATCCCGGGAGGCCATGGGATAAGATCGCTATGGATTTTATAGTTGACCTCCCGGAAAGCAACGGACAAACTGTAATATGGATTGTTATAGACCTTTTTTCAAAGCAAGCACACTTCATACCCTCTAAAGGGCTCCCATCAGCACGACGGCTAGCACGAATGTTCATCCAACACATTTACCATTTACACGGAGTACCTCGTAGAATCATTTCAGACAGGGGAGTCCAATTTACCGCTTGCTTTTGGCAGAATGTTAAAAGTTCAATAGGTTCTTCTCAAGCTCTCAGCTCTGCTTTCCATCTGAGCACTAACGGTGCGGCTGAAAGAGCTAATGCCACAATTGAATAGTATTTGAGGAGTTATGTATCCTATCAACAGTCGGATTGGGCTGACCTGATACCGTTTGCTGAGGGGGCATACAATAATGCCGTGCATAAAAGCACTGGTCTAACCCCTTTTAATATAGTAACAGGCAAGGAATTCTCAGCCATCCCAGAACTAGATACCCAAGGTAGGGGTGGAATGTTCCTGTCTGCATGGGCCGATAAGATCCGCACAATGTGGCCAGAAGTAAAGCAGGCATTAAAGAAAGCCGTGGAAGAATACAAACAACAGGCAGATAAAAGGAGGGCAGAGAACAAACCTTTCCGGTGGGGGATCAGGTATTCCTATCCACTAAATATATTAAACTACGGGTTCCATGTAAAAAACTTGGCCCAAAATACCTTGGCCCTTTCACTGTGGCAAAAGTAATTAATCCTGTGACTGTTACGCTGAAACTCCCCTCCCTACTGGGAAAAATATATCCCGTGTTTCATAGCAGTTTACTCAAACCTGTAGAACATACAACCTCTGCAAAGCATCCAGGGCCGGTTACACAAGATGAATACGAACTCGAGGACATATTAGACTCCAAGATAAAAACAGGAAGGTTAAAATACCTAGTAAAATGGAAAGGGTATCTGTCAGCACTCCAAACTACATTCGTTCCAGTGCTGACATAAGGAGGAGAAGAGGGGGCAGCTGGCAAGAGGATGCTTGACTTTTCACCTACTTATTTTCCCTGAAGATAATATCCCCTAGGAGATGAGATGGGACGGGGGACATTCTTGGGAGCTGAAGTAGTAGATATGGGGAGAGTGATTTGGAAGATGGCCAATGAGACACAGAGAATTGGGGAACAGAAAGGGAAGGTTTGGGGTCAGGAAGTCAGTGTTGGCTACGACATAATCGGGGACAGATTGTCGTGCTTAATAAATGAAAGATTTCATCAAAGACTCTTTGTTTGGAAATGCAATTTATTTGAGACGACACCGAAACCTGACAGATAGCCAATACTCCTTTCTAAGCCAAGCTGGCTGACCTCCAAACCTCCAGCTCCCTTCCAGATGTATGGAGTGAATGGAGACGCAGCCCAGACGTCATGGCAGAAGGTAAACTGTCTGAGGAGAGCTTAATTCAGGCAACTGGAAAAGAGCCAGTTCTGATCCCAGCCAGCTTGGATACTACGGAGCCTCAACTCCCCACTCCTCCATCGAAGCTGCCAGACAGCCAAGATCAGACGATCATGCTACAACCCAAGAAAAGAAAAGATGAGTATTCGGGGGTTTTGCCAAAATCCGCAGAGGCTGAGTTTCCCTTCCCGAGCATTCAGGGGAAGGGGAAACCCCTAAGTGAATTGGGGAGGGCAGACTGGCTTCGGGACTGGCAGCAAGCCAGACCCCAAAAAGCTTCAGGGAAGCCACTTGAGAGCCCCATAGATGAATTGAAGGAGAAATTTGACCGTGCCATTCTTTGGGAGGAGGGGCAATCATGCAGGCCAAAGGAAAAGAGGGAGCCAGTTTGGGCTGATGAACCGAGAGGCCGTAGACTGAAGCACAGCCCTTCCCCCCCCCACAGCAAAAGGAGAAGAAGCCCAAAGATGCATCCATGGGTTCCTCCCTTACACAGCAAGCAGAGCAGCCTGGATAGGACATCACCTCCCTACCCTAGAATGAGAGATGAGGAAGAGGACCAGCGGCACTAGGCCAGGCTTACAGAGCCCCACACTGGGAGGAGAGGGTAGCGAGGGAGGACCCACCCCGTTTCAGAGGGAAGTTCGATGGTGATCCAGACCAACTAGCCCAATTCCTTGACATAGCTGGGATCTACATCGAGCGCTATGGACACCTCTACCCATTTCCCAGAGCCCTAGTGAGTGCCATTTCAGAAGGGTCGGAGGGAGAAGCAAGGAGGTAGTCAGCAGCCCTCTACAAGAACAGGGCTCCCCAACTGCAAGATGCAGATGGGTTCTTACAACTACTATGAGCCCGGTTCAAGGAGGCAGAGGAGGACCCCTATGTGGAGGACGAGCTCAGGAATCTAATGCAGAAAGGGAGGCCCATCAGAGAGCATATCTGTGAATTCAGGAGAGTCATTGGGACCTTACCTCCCTTACCAGAGCGACTACTGGTGTATTTCTTTAGAACAAGCCTAGACAAGCGAATCGCCCAAGTGACCGCTTATCGGGACATCCTGAACCGACTCCCCGAATGGTTCCGAGTAGCGATAAAAGTCGACAGAGGGTTGTGAGCCAACAACATGTCAAAGCAACCAGATGGCAAGCAGAGGGGCCAACCGGACCAGGGACCACCCATCAGCACCACAGCCTACCCAGAGGCCTGTCGTCCCACGGAGCCCGCTGAGGTGCTACAGGTGTGGGGGGATTGGTCACCTGGCCACAGCGTGTGGAACCCCAAGGCTGAGATCAGACCCACCACCCAAGGCATGACCGGAACGAGGGCCCAAGCGCGCCACCAACGTGCCACGGAAAATCCCCCAGGGTCCAGAGGTCTTCACCCACCTAACCGAAACAAGGGGGATCCCAGATGATGGAAATCAGCCCCCCGAATCATATGACAGCGAGGACGAGGGTGAAGACGACCCAATGGTGAGTGGACCCATCCACCCGTTTCTCTTCCCTATATGCCTAATGGCCCCAAAAACAGGGACCCAAGGGACTTTCCAAGCCCTAATAGATTTGGGCTGCACAAGGTGCCTGATTAACCTACCCACAGTCCTAAAATTAGGGATCCGAGTCAAAAAGCTCAACCACCCAATTCGATTTGAACAAGTGGATGGGTCTCTAGTGGGGGAAACTTACACCACACACCTGACTGAACTACTGAAGCTGGAGCTAGCAGATCACTGGGAAATGATTCGGTTCATAATAGCCCCCAAAATGACAGATCCAGTCATACTGGGACTCTCTTGGCTAGACAAATGGGGCCCCATCATCTGGTGGCAAGAGGGAACCCGCAGGCTGAGGATAGCAAAGGGCCCCCAACCCCTGCCGCTCCAACCAGGCGAGATGCCCCCCCCATACAGGGCCCCAACCCCTCCCACCACAACAAGGGTCCCTCCCTAAGGGTACACCAGAGCACCTGGCGGCTGCATCCGACAGCTCCCATGAGACAGAACAAATCCCAGAGAATACCAAGACCTTGCAGAGGTGTTTAGCGAGGCCGAGTGTAACATTCTGTCCCCCCTCGCGAGGCTGATTGCGCCATCGAGATCATCCCTGGGGCGAAACTACCTAAACCCAAATTGTATGCCATGACGCCCCGTGAAATGCAAGAAATGCGGAACTACATAGACAAGAACCTACAAAGGGGTTTCATTGAGCCAGCCAAACCACAGGTCGCAGCACCAGTCCTCTTCAAAGAGAAGAAAGACGGCTCTATGTGCCTGGTGGTTGATTTTAGAAATATCAACGCTGTCTGCATACACAACTTATATCCCCTTCCCCTCATGAAAGACATGCTAGCCCACCTGGCCAAAGGGAAAGTTTTCACCAAACTAGACCTCTGCGAAGCCTACTACCGGGTACTCATCAGGGAAGGAGATGAGTGGAAAACAGCATTCAACTGCCCCCTAGGGAGTTTCCAATTTAAGGTGATGCCATTTGGACTGCAGGGAGCCCCGGCGGTGTTCATGCAATTGGTAAATGAGGTTCTACATGAGCACCTCTATAAGGGGGTCCTTGTCTACCTAGATGACATTCTCATTTACACGGAAACCATAGACAAACACATACCCCTCGTCCGCCAAATGCTGGAAAAACTGCTGGGGGTGAACCTATATGTCAAGCTATCAAAATGCGAGTTCCACCAGTCACGGCTAGACTACTTAGGTTACAGAGTGTCAAACGGGATAGAAATGGACCCAGCCAAAGTACAATCAGTTCTAAACTGGCAACCTCCTCGCACCCGCAGACAACTGCAAAGCTTCCTGGGGTTCGCGAATCTCTACAGACAATTCATCCCCTCTTTTGCAAGAATTGCCAAACCTCTGACGGACCTCCTAAAAACAGGGAGTCCAGCCACAAAACCCAACCCAGGACAATCTCTACAGTGGGACCTGGCCTGCCAACAGGCATTCGAAACACTAAAAGAAATGTTTGCAAAAGAACTGGTCTTAAAGCATCTTCACCTCGAACAACCCTTTGTCATCCAAGCAGATGCCAGCGATGTGGCAATGGGGGGATGTGCTACTCCAAAAGAACAGCCAAGGGAATTTACAACCTTGTGCCTACACATCGCGCAAACTCACCGACACAGAAAGACAATGGGCGGCGTGGGAAAAGGAAGCATTCGCAGTGAGATGGGCGCTGTTGACCTGGTGACACCTGCTAGAAGGAGGCCAGAGACTGTTCAAAGTTTGGACTGATCATAAGAATCTGGAGGCCCTCAGGACCCCACAGAAATTGTCGCCTAGGCAAGTCCGGTGGGCCTAATACTTCAATCGTTTCAACTTCAACCTGAAACACATCCCAGGGGGGAAGAACTTTCTGGCTGATTCCCTCTCCCGAATCCCTCAATACAACAGTGAGCGGGAGTAGGTAGTGAATGCCATCATCCCCTCTGCCCAAGGAGTAGGTCAAGTAGTCACCAGACGGCAACGTCGCGACCAGCAAGGCCAACCTGCAAGTGACTTAATGACAAGACTCAAAACTGAAACATCGGCAGACCCCTGGTTCCGAGACAATCAACATCTCTTGACAAAAAGGGATGACCTAGCATGGAAGGGAACAAAACTCTATGTCCCAGAGACTCTACGCACCCTGATCCTCAAGAGAAGCCACGACGTTAAACCAGCGGGACATTTCCGCTTCCTACAGACTCTGCACGAAGACAGTTCTGGTGGCCCCACATGTGAAAGAACGTAGACAGTTATGTGAAAAGTTGTACCATCTGTGCCATGATGAAGAAACGACCAGGAAGCCCTCCCAGGCTGCTGCAGCCAGTAGCTGAACCAAAAAGACCATGGGAGGAGATTGCAATGGATTTCATAGTAGAACTGCCGAGGAGTGGTGGAAACACAGTGATCTGGACTGTAATAGACTTATTCTCCAAACAGGCACACTTTATACCCTGCAGCGGGCTACCCTCAGCCCACCAGTTATCCAAACTGTTCCTGAAACACATCTACCACCTGCATGGAGTATCCAGAAGAATCATCTCCGACCGAGGGGTCCAGTTCACAACAAAATTCTGGAGAGAGTTCCTACGATCCATAGGGTCATCCCAAGACCTCAGCTCAGCATTTCACCCGAGCACCAATGGGGGGGCGGAGAGACTGAATGCCATGATAGAGCAATACCTAAGATGCTATGTCAACTACCAACAGTCCAATTGGGCAGACCTCCTATCTTTTGCGGAGGTCGCGTATAATAATGCTGTCCACAGTAGCATGGGATTAACCCCGTTTAAAATAGTGAGTGGTATGGATTTCATCCCCATGCCAGAGTACCCAAGGGAGCCCCCTTCCTCAGTCAGCTTGACCGATTGGATGGCAATGTTGAGAGAAACCTGGGAGAACATTAAGAGGGTGTTGGCCAAGGCGGCACAATCCTATAAGAAACAGGCAGACAAGCACCGAACTCCCCAAAGACCATTTCGAGTGGGAGAGAAGGTCTACCTCTCCACCAAGTATTTGAGACTTAGACTCCCGAGCAGGAAATTGGGCCCGAAATTTATAGGACCATTCCCTATAGTAAAAGTAATCAACCCGGTTACAGTACAACTGCAGTTGCCCCGACTACTAGGGAAGATACATCCCATTTTCCACAGTAGCCTCCTGAAGCCTGTGGTGGGGTCAACTTTAAGGCCGGCGCCACGTGACCCCCCAGGGCCCCTGGTCATTGGGGGGCACACTCACTATGAGGTACAGTGAATTCTCGATTCGAGATGGCACAGGGGGCGCCTCCAATACTTAATTAAGTGGAAGGGCTACCCATTGTCAGAGGCTTCCTGGATGAAGAGCACAAACATCCAAGCTGACCGCCTTATAGCCAAATTCTATGCAGATCACCCAGACAAGGTCGGAGGCGGCGGGACACACCCTCGGATGGGGTAACAGTAGTTAACTTGTTGTTTGTCTTGCAACAGGCCTCCCTGGAAAAATGAAGGGGGAGGGGCCGGATGTCAGCACTCCAAACTACATTCGTTCCAGTGCTGACATAAGGAGGAGAAGAGGGGGCAGCTGGCAAGAGGACGCTTGACTTTTCACCTGCTTATTTTCTCTGAAGATAATATCCCCTAGGAGATGAGATGGGACGGGGGACATTCTTGGGAGCTGAAGTAGTAGATATGGGGAAAGTGATTTGGAAGATGGCCAATGAGACGCAGAGAATTGGGGAACGGAAAGGAAAGGTTTGGGGTCAGGAAGTCAGTGTTGGCTACGACATAATCAGGGATAGATTGTCGTGCTTAATAAATGAAAGATTTCATCAAAGACTATTTGTTTGGAAATGCAATTTATTTGAGACGACACCGAAACCTGACAGAATCCTTATGAGGAATCATTGTGGGTGGGTGAACAGGATATCAAAGCCCCTCGTTTATTAAGACGGTTTCATTAAAAATATCCACATAAACCACAACAAGCTCCATGAGGACTATACTAATTTAATCTTATTTCTTACAGGAGGGCACCTGGTAGGGAGGCCGTCTGTCGAGCCCAGTTGCAGCTTGACAAACTTTCCGGAGGGAGAGGCATTCCAGTGACGTCCCTTGAATCCATGTTAGAGAGGGATGGCTACACATTATTCGGGTTAGAGGTGGTGGCGAGATATTTTTAATTAATGGTGATGGTGGTCGCTATGGGTTGCATTCAGGCTGCGGAACAGGTTGATATATCAGGGGAGTCACTTCTACGAAGCTATGATGATGAACGCAGAAATGAAAGGAGCGAAGTAATTCGAGGACCGCTGCAGCCTGCCAAACCAGGATCAGCTGAGAAGCGCTAATGGGGGTGGGGCGTGGTTGGCGTGGCATATTCAAAAAGCGCTGAGGAACAGCAATGCTCAGCGCTGACTTTGCACTATTTGTACTTGGTTCTTACTGATGCCCGGTTGTTGTGGATTAAAACATTGACTCCCTAAAACTGTGTTCGGTTTGATGCTTCAACGAGGAACCGCCCAAAACACAGATCACAAGAGCCGAGATTAATCTCTGTTCCTGAAAAGAAGCAGGGTTCAGAAATCTGATTCCTGTGTCTATTTGTGTCTGGCAATTGGTTTAAAAAGGAACAGCTATTGTGTTTGCTCTTTTGCTACATTCTAGCTCTAATTGCTTTCTTTGTAGTTAGGCTTATCTCAAGTGTTTACACTTGAGCTTGCCTGGGATGTGAGCTCTGGCAATGAACCAGACAAGGCTTGTGTTTTAGTTTTAAAAGGATTTAAACTGTTGTGTTCTCCAGCGCGCTGCTTGGAGAATCCAAAGCATGGGTTATTCAATATCTATTAGCCAGAGACTGAGTGAGTGTTTCTTTAAATTTCTTAAGACACGCCTCCCTCGCTCGGCTGAGCTTCAGTTTCATTCACTCAGTCGAGCTAGAGAAGCTGCTTAATATTGCTCTGGACAATTAATGGACATTTCTTGACCCACAATTTGGATTCTTTTCATAATTTCTCTTTGTTTGGAGCTGCATCGTTGTTCCTTTTTGTGTATTGAGGACTTTGATCTGATTTGCCTGAGTGTGATTCTCCTCAGTTGCCAACAGTGGTGAGTCATTCCTGGGGCTCCAGGTCGACCTCTGCCGCTCAGGTTCATCTCTGCAGCGTAGCGGAGCTCTCTCCTTCAGGACATCTCCCTCTGTTGTCACCTCTGATGGCATGTGTGCTGGTTTCCTGGCTTGCCGGCACAACCGCCACCACAGATGGCTTAAGGACGGAGGACCAGAAGCTTTCTGCAAAACTTACCAAGCCACTGCCTGGGCCATCAAAGCCGCTACATCAACATCCTTCTTTAATTGAGCGTTGCTGATCTGGCTGCGACAGCTTCAGGACCAGCTCCCACCTGAGGACACGAGGCTCCACCAGGACATCAATAAACTGGTGGCGGCCACAGAATATTCTGCGGATGCTTCCTTGAATGCCACAAAATTCGCTTCTCGTGCCCTAGTCTCCACTGTGACATCTCGCTGCCTCCTCTAGTTACGACATTGGAGGGCAGATATGAAATCTAAGTGGAAGCTCGTGTCGGCGCCATACAAGGGATCCCGCCTTTTTGGGGAGGACCCAATATTGATCAAGGACAAGGATAAACGCAAAATCACGCCCTCCTCGTACAGGCGGGCTGATCGCTGTTATTCACCATATGCTCCACAGCAGCCCTTTCGGACTGACACCAGACTCAGTGGGTCCTACTCTAACAGGCCTTACTCTCAGTGCTTTGACTGCACCTCTGACTGGTCTGCCTTTAGAGACCGTGGCAGACGCCAGCCTCCAGCCAAGCGGCTCTTTAGAGGGACTGGCAATCAGCCCTTCCAATGCGGTAAGTGACTGCCAACCTGCCTTTCCCATTGGTGGCCGTCTCCATCATTTCAGACGCCAGTGGGAATTGTCAACGACAGATGCCTGGGTTCTCCAAACGGTGGGCTGGGCCTCACCTTAGAATTCTGCTCCAGCCCCCCCCAACTGCTTCATCCAATGCCCAGTATTGTCCAACCCGAACAAAAGATGATTGATGGAGGCAGAGATACAACATCTCCTAGAAATCTGTGCTATAGAGCCAGTTCCCACTCAACATCGTGGGACCAGTTTCTATTCAATCTTTTTCCTTGTGCCCAAAAATTCCGGAGGCTGAAGAGGGATCTTGGACCTCAAAAAATTGAACAAATTTATTGTATATCACCAATTCAAAATGCAATCCCTCAAGTTGATCTTGGGTTGCATACGAGAGGTGGACTTAATGACTTCAATAGACCTCAAAGAGGCCTATCTTTATGTCTCAATTCGGTCATCCCAGCGAAGGTTCCTGCATTTCGCATACGCCAATCAGCAATTTCAATATCGGGCCATGCCCTTCGGCCTGTCATCGCCTGCACGACCTTCACAAAACTCCTGGCAACCATGGCTGCCTATCTCAGGCAAATTCCCATCAGAGTCCTTTGCTATTTGGACGACATCCTAATTCTGTCGTCCTCACATACTCAGGCTACGCGAGACCTGCTGATGGTGTGTCAATGCCTCCAACAGTACGGCTTTTCCCTGAACCTGGAGAAAAGCCATCTGCAACCCACTACTCGTATTCTTCATCTGAGAGCCACGATAGATTCCGAGAAGGGTCAGGTCTTCCTGTCTCAGGATCAGTGACTCAGCATAACGTCCTTGATATCTCAGACTCTCTCCCTCAGGTTGGTGCCTCTGTTTCTCCTATCTCGCTTGCTCGGGAAAATGATCTCATGCATCTCAATAGTTCCGTGGGCTCGATTCCATGCCTGACCATTGCAATGGTACCTGCTCCCATACCAGAAGTCCCATCGCAGCAATTCCAGGGACCAGGTACAGCTCCCGGCAGAGGTTCGCCTGTCCTTCCGCTGGTGGACCTCGGAGGCCCTATGGAAGGGATGCATTTTCCAGGAACCACAACATCTCACCATTACAACGGATGCGAGCTTGTTGGGTTGGGGCACCCACCTGCTCTCCCATGTTGCTCAGGGTCGCTGGTCTCTTGTGGATCGCCAGAACGATATCAACTGGCTGGAGCTGCGGGTAGTCCATCTTGCCCTGTGCCACTTCCACTCCGCCGTGGCAGGCCACCATGTGCTAATCCTGACAGACAATGTGACCATGAAAGCACATGTGAACCGCGAGGGGGGCACTTGGTCCAAATTACTCATGGATGAATCAAAGAGGCTACTGACCTGGGCAGAGAGTCACATCCTCTCTCTCACGGCTCAACACATCTCCGGGATGACCAATGTCCAAGCCGATTGGTTGAGCAGAATGCAAATAGATCACTCGGAATGGTGTCTTCATCCAGACCTCTTCTGCGAACTGTCTCACCACTTCAGACATCCGATCCTCGACCTCTTTGTGCATCCAAAGAACACTCAGCTGCCTTGATTTTTTTCCCGTCACCCATGCCCACACATAGAAGGGGTCGAAGCTCTCTGCAGCCCCTGGCCTTTGGGGCTACTCTATGCCTTCCCGCCTCTTCCACTCATCCCGAGGCTGATTCATAAGATCTTAGCAGAGAAGGCAGACATCCTGCTAGTCGCCTCAATTGGCCGCAGTGAGCCTAGTATGTGGATCTTAAACCTGTCTGTCGCCCACCCCTGGAGGATTCCAGGGGACATGATCTCTCTCAGCAAGGGGATCATGCTGTATCCAGAGCCTTAATGGCTTCAGTTGACCGTCTGGCACTTGAGAGGATCCTCCTGATGAAGGACAATATCTTGGGGTGGGTGATTTCCACGATTCAAGCCTCCAGGCGTGCCTTTACGTGTTGGATCTATAACACCACCTGGAGGTCCTTCTGGGTCTGATGTTCTAGAGTGCACTTTGATCCTACTTCGGCCTCTGTGTCTGAGGTGCTAGAATTCCTTCAAGATGGTTTGGACAAGCCCTGAGCACGCTCCGCAGGCAAGTCATGGCCTTGAACACTGTCTTGTCTGCTGACAACGATTGTCCTCTCTCCCATGACTTGAAGATTTGGGGTTTCCTGAAAGGAGCAGCCAACCTACATTCCCCGGTTGTTCATTACAACATCAACCGAAGGACCTGGGCCTTCGGTTGATGTTGTGCAATGCCAGGTCCATGGTAAATAAAGCCCCCCTCATTTGTGATCTGGTTCAAGAGGGGTGTGTGGACCTGGTGGGTATTACGGAGACCTGGTTGGGCCAGGAGTGGGGGGTTCCCCTCGTTGAGATGTGCCCACCAGGTTTCTATGCATTCCATCGGCCGAGGTCCCAGGGGAGGGGAGGGGTGGTGGCGGTTCTTGTAAAGGAAGGACTTGCTCCAAGGGAGGCCACTGTACTTCAGATAGCCGGATGTGAGTCCCTCCTTGTGAAGTGGGGTCATGGGAGGCAGATGGGCTTGCTGATCACATATCTGGCTCCCTGCCACGTGTCGGTGGCCCTGCCCGAGCTGCTCAACGTGATTGCCGAGGTGGCGGTGGGGACCCCCAGGCTTATGGTCATGGGAGACTTCAAATTGCCATCTGTCGGTGAAGCGTCTGAGGCAGCCCAGGAGTTCATGGCTTCCATGACGGCCATGGACCTGACCCAATTAATTCATGGACCCACTCACACTGGAGGACACACTCTGGACTTGATTTTTGTCCCTGGTCAGTGGACGAATGATCTTAAATAGGGGAGATAGCGACTGAGCCCTTGTCATGGTCAGATCATTCTCTTCTTAGGCTTGACTTTCTAACCGGCACACCCCGCCGCAGGAGGCGGAACAGACTAGGTAGTTCCGCCCCAGGCGCCTGATGGATCCTGATAGGTTCCAGATGGAGCTTGGGCCATTCCCTGAGGCTCTGACTCATGGCTCGGCTGAAGAGCTGGTGGCTGCCTGGGATAGGGCGGCTGCTGATGCTTTGGACCGATTTATTTATTTATTTATTTATTTATTTATTTATTTATTTATTTATTTATTTAATTTATTTTTGTATCCCGCCCTTCTCCCCGAAGGGACTCAGGGCGGTGAACAGCCGAGAATTAAAATAACATGCAATATAAAAGTTAAAATAATTAAGAATAAATTAAATTAAACGGCCACCCCAATTTAAAACCCCTAGCAATACAATTAAAAACCCTTAAAACCTATTCAGGCCAGGCCGGCTTGCTGAAATAAAAACGTCTTCAGGGCCTTACGGAAAGTGCGGAGATCCGGAATCAGCCATATTCCGGGAGGTAGCTCGTTCCAGAGGGCAGGTGCTCCCACAGAGAAGGCCCTCTCCCTGGGGGCCGCCAGCCGACATTGCTTGACCGACGGCACCCTGAGGAGGCCCTCTCTGTGAGAGCGTATTGGCCAGTGGGAGGTTATCGGTAGCAGCAGGCGGTCTCGTAAATACCCTGGCCCTAAGCCATGGAGCACTTTAAAGTTGAGAACCAACACCTTGAAGCGCACCCGGAAGACCACCGGGAGCCAGTGCAGCTCGCGCAGGAGAGCTGTTATATGGGAGCGCCATGTCGCTCCCGTAATCACCCACGCGGCCGCATTCTGGGCCAGTTGGAGCCTCCGGGTGCTCCTCAAGAGGAGCCCCATGTAGAGAGCGTTAGCGTAGTCCAGGCGAGAAGTGACGAGAGCATGAGTGACTGTGCATAAGGAATCCCGACTCAGAAATGGGCGCAACTGGTGTATCAGCCGAACCTGATAAAAAGCCCCCATGGCCACGGCTGTCATATGCTCTTCTAAAGACAGCCGTGTGTCCAGGAGGACGCCCAAGTTGCGAGCCCCCTCTGTGGGGGTCAATAACTCGCCCCCAATAGCCAGTGATGGCGCCAGCTGGCTATATCGGGATGCCGGCATCCACAGCCATTCGGTCTTGGAAGGGTTGAGTTGAAGCCTGTTCCTCCCCATCCAGACCCGCACAGCCTCCAGACACTGGGACATCATTTCAAGGGCATCGTTGGGGTGGTTTAGGGTGGAGATGTACAGCTGAGTGTCATCAGCGTACAGATGGCATTGCACCCGAAATCCACGGATGATCTCACCCAGCGGCTTCACATAAATGTTGAACAGGAGTGGCGAGAGGACCGACCCTTGTGGCACCCCACAAACAAGGCGCCTCGAGGTCAACCTCTGCCCCCCTGCCAACACAGACTGCGACCAGTCAGAGAGATAGGAGGAGAACCACCGCAACACGGTGCCTCCCATCCCCAACCCCTCCAGCCGGTGCAGCATGATACCATGGTTGATGGTATCAAAAGCCGCTGAGAGATCTAATAGGACCAGAACAGAGGAGCAACCCCTGTCCCGAGCCCTCCAGAGATCATCAACCAACGCGACCAATGCCCTTTCCGTGTTGTACCCAGGCCTGAAGCCGGACTGGCACGGGTCTAGATAGACGGTTTCATCCAGGTACTGCGGGAGCTGTTGCGCAACCACACTCTCAACAACCTTCGCAATAAAGCGAAGGTTGGAGACAGGACGGTAGTTAGCCATAACAGCCGGATCCAGAGAAGGCTTCTTAAGGAGGGGCCTCACCACCGCCTCTTTCAAAGCAGGTGGCAGGAAACCCTCCCCCAAAGAAGCATTTATAATCCTCTGGAGCCAGCCTCGCGTAACCTCCCGGGTAGCCATTACCAGCCAGGAGGGACACGGGTCCAGTAAACATGTGGTTGCGTTTAACCTCCCCAGAATCCTGTCCATGTCCTCAGGAGTCACAGGATCGAACTCGTCCCAGATAACATTCTCAAGACCTGCCTCAGCCACCCTGCCGGAATCTACCCAGTCAGAATCCAAGCCTTCCCGAATCTGAGTGATTTTATCATGCAGATACTGTGCAAAATCCTCAGCCTGCCCTTGCAAGGGGTCCTCCCGCACTCCCTGATGGAGGAGGGAGCGGGTCACTCTAAACAAGGCGGCTGGGCGGTTATCTGCCGATGCAAGAAGAGCGGAAAAGTAATCACACTTTGCCGCTTTTATCGCCACTAAATAGGTCTTAATATGAGACCTAATTAGTGTTCGGTCGGATTCGGAGCGACTGGCCCTCCAACCACTCTCTAGGCATCTTTTCCGGTGTTTCATCCCCCTCAGCTCCTCGGTGAACCAGAGAGCTGGGCAGGTCGCAAAGGCACGACACAATCCAAAGCCCCGGCGGCCGTCCTATCCCAGGCGGCCACCAGATCTTCAGTCGAGTCGTGAGCCAAAGCCTCAGGAAATGGCCCAAGCTCCCTCTGGACTCTCTCCGGATCCATCAGGCGCCTGGGGCAGAACCACCTAATCGGTTCCACCTCCCTGCGGTGGGGTGCAGCAGTTAGAAAGTCCAGCCTCAGGAGAGAATGGTCCAACCATGACAGGGGCTCAATAGCTATATCCCCTATAACCTGGCCATTCAACCACTGACCAGAGACAAAAACTAAGTCCAGAGTGTGTCCTCTCGTGTGAGTAGGGCCATGAATTAGTTGTGTCAGGTCCAAGGCCGTCATGGAAGCCATGAACTCCCGGGCCACCTCAGACGCCTCACCGGCCGATGGCAGGTTGAAATCCCCCATGACCACCAGTCTGGGGTATCAACCGCCACTCCGGCAATAACATTGAGAAGCTCAGGCAGGGCCACTGTCACGTGGCAGGGAGCCAGGTACGTGATCAGCAGGCCCATCTGCATCCCATGGCCCCACTTCACCAGGAGAGACTCACATCCAGCTATCTGTGGTACAGTGGTCTCCCTAAGACTTTCCTTAATGATAACCCCCCCCTTACCCTGGGCCCTCGGCTGATGAAATGCTCGGAAACCTGGTGGGCACATTTCTACCAGGGGGACCCCTCCCTCTTGGCCCAGCCAGGTCTCTGTAATACCCGCCAGGTCCGCTCCCCCCTCCTGAATTAACTCGCAAATGAGTGGGGCCTTATTAACCATGGACCTGGCATTGCACAGCATCAGCCTAAGGCCTGGGCTCTGAAGCTCTGGACAACCCGGGAAACGAGATGAGCCTTGGGGGCTGAGGCATGCCACCGCTTGAAGACAGCAGGTGCGTGCCCCCCTAACACAATATGGTCCCCTGCTCCCGCCGTATCTGCTCCTCCCAACCATGGTCCTGATGGAATTGCCGTCTTCCATACTTACACTAAGCCCCTCCACACCCAGCTCCACACCTCCCAGTTCGTGTCCCTGTGCCAAGCCTGACCTATCACCCTCCCTCCCCACCCCCCTCCCCAAACCCCTTAAAAATTTACACAAAGACAATTTTAAAAAACCCCTCAGCCCCCTCTTTGTGGCATGCCACCTCTTGGGATTCCAAATTCCATCATCGAGGTAGGCCCTCGATAACGTGGAGGGCCAAGCCTGCGAGAGGGGGGAATCTCGCAGACCAAGAAGCTCCGCTGCTGTGTACATCTTGCCGCAGGGATGGGATGACCATCCCCTAAAGGGTCCATACAGAAAAGTCAGAGGGAGAACATAAGAAAACAGGAGCCACAAAAGGATTCAAGACCCAGTCCACTGTTCTCTCACAACAGAGGCCAAGTCCGTCTCCAGGTCGACACAGTCCAAGGGGGGGGAGGGATAAGTCATACCACTCTCTCACAGTGGCTTGGCCCGATGGTCTGCCCCCTTTACTGGTGAGATGGAAGTAATGGTCCAACTTGCGCACTCGGCACCCATAATATAGGTCCAAAATCCGCCCTCTCACGGCAGATTCGATGGTCCGTCCCTCTGCCAGCAAAGTGTAAAGTGCATGTGCCGAATGATGGTACAACAGAAACAGTGCAGCACCCAGGATATAAATCCCCAATCTGCCCTCTCATGGCGGTTTGTCCGATGGTCATTCCCCTGCCAGCAGGTACAAAGTGCAGAGTGCAAAATAGCTAATGCCATCCCAGCTCAACCCGTGGGGCCCAGAGCACAAGCCACCCTCTCACGGTGGTTAGGCTCTTGACTGGTCCTCCAAGTTGGTGGGATGGAGTCATATACCAGCTCCTGTTCAGATGATATTAGTCCTCCACACAAGTAGGGGAAGGGCTCAGATGGAATGAGCGAGCTATTTATGTCAGCGAGGTGAAGCCAAAAGAAGCCAAAAGAGGGCGCAAGTCCGAGAGGGGCATGTTGCAAGGGGGGGAGAGATGGAATGAGGGGGGGCCTCCTGTCACCGAGTTTACCTGGCCCCTTGGTTCTCTGAGGAGCTGAGGGAGATTAAGCGCCGGAAAAGATGCCTGGAGAGCAGTTGGAGGACCAGCCGTTCTGAATCTGACCGAACACTGGTGAGGTCTCATATTAAGACCTACCTAGTGGTGATAAAAGAGGCAAAATGTAATTATTTTTCCACTCTTATCACATCTGCAGATAACCACCCAACCGCCCTGTTTAGGGTGACCCACTCCCTTCTCCATCTGGGAGCGTGGGAGGATCCCTTGCAGGATTTTGTGCAGTATCTGCACAATAAAATCACTCAGATTCGGGAAGGCTTGGTCTTTGACTGGATGGATACAGGTGAGATGATGGAGGCAGGTCTTGAGAATGTCATTTGGGAGCAGTTCGACCCTGTCGCTCCCGAGGACGTGGACAGGATTCTGGGAAGGCGACCACATGTTTATTGGACCCGTGTCCCTCCTGATTGGTGCTGGCCTCCCGGGAGGTTACGCGAGGCTGGCTCCAGGGGATTATTAACACTTCTTTGAGTGAGGGTGTCTTGCCTTCCGCCTTGAAAGAGGCGGTGG